CTGGAGGATCAACTACATAGACAGACTCTTAGTGCATTGCAGTTGCAAATTGAAATTATTGGTATATCCGAAACACCCGGAGAAAATCCTAACCATTTGGCCTTGACAACCGTAAATAAAATTGGCATCGAGCTTAATGAATCCGATCTTAATCACGTGTATAGGGGTGGACCACGAATTACAGAAGATCAAAAGGAAAAGGACTCGGTACGCCTGCCGCGCCCTCTTGTAGTTACATTTACTAGAAGATTAAAGCGTGATGAGTTCTTGAAAGGAGGGAAAACCAGACGCACGCTAGAGAGCTGCGACATTGTTGGTGCAGGACCACAGAGAAAAGTCTACATTAATGAACGACTTACATATGAGGCCCGTCAACTTTTTCGCACCGCCCGAAACTGGACTCGAGAAAACAAATACAAGTTTTGTTGGGTACAAAACGGCACCGTTTTCATCAGGAAATGCGAGGGTAGCCCGCCTATCTAGATTCGCTCGTCTGAAGATCTACACAAGCTGTCTGCGAGACGTGATCAAGAGCAGATTCGCTCGTCTGAAGATCTACAAAAGCTGTCTGCGAGACGTGATCAAGAGCAGATTCGCTCGTCTGAAGATCTACAAAAGCTGTCTGCGAGACGTGATCAAGAGCAGGCGCAAGCGGACATATCTTCAGCATCTGTTGTATGTGTTTAAATTTTCACTAATTCTTCAATTTTTTAAATTTATATTATCAGTTTCCTCTAAATATTTGTTTACTATAAATTTTGATTTGTAGGTAAAAAATGTTAAACTCGCGTCAGGTTAAACACGTAGGCTGATCGCATCATGACACAATAAAATTGGAAAGGTTGTTGACTTTCAATATATTGGACAACACATAGCAATATTTTATTTTATCGTATTATAATAACGAGACTCTATCTAGGACGTCCACGTGGCAGCTTTATTGCGAAGAAAATGCATTTTTTTTACAATAGATGTCGCTAGGTGCGCTTAAATGTGATTCAGGTAAGTTGATTTCTTTACAATAGATGTCGCTAAGTGCGCTTAAACGTGATAGCCTTGTCGACAATGCAATCAACGGCATAATACTTTGTTGCACGATCCTGGCGTTGTTGTCGGCTGTTCTACCTCTGAACATGTTGATGGAGGTAGTGAATCTAATTCGGTTGTAACCTTATATAATGGTGATTCGAATTGTGCGCTCCTTTCCACGGCTTTGTTGGACGTCATCAATCCGGATAGTGGTGCGATAGAAAGAGTGCGTGCTCTGCTTGATTGTGATAGTCAGTCTTCGTTTATAACAAAGTCGCTTACACAAAGGTTATCACTGAACACTGCACCTCTAAAGGCGGTTACTGTGATTGGAATAGGTAATAATTGCAACAATAAAAGAAAGGAAAGTTGTTTGGCTAAGATTAAGTCTATAAATAGTACTTACCAAACTACCTTATCCTGCTATGTTTGTTGCCAAAGACACCTGTAATGCACAAAATATGAACATACCCAAAACCATGAGGCTTGCAGATCCTCAGTTTACCCATCCTGCTCCAGTTGATGTTCAGATTGGTGCGGATCTCTTTTGGGCCATTCTTGGCTGCAAGAAAAAATACTTGGGACCAAATAACAAAATAAATACAATTACGAAGTTCTAAATTCGGTTGGATTGTTGCTGGTTTAACTAACTTATTGGGACATAATAAGTTTTTCTGCAATCATGCATCTCTCAATCAAAGTAAAACACTTTAAGTTGATGAATTAATAACAAAATTCTGGGAGCTCAAAGATCTGCCACAAAAGACAGTTCTTCGCTACAATGATATTGAATGTGAAAAACATTTTGTGAAGAATACATCTCGTTCTCCAGAGGGCAGATTTTGCGTGAAGTTGCCTCTAAAGGATACTCCCGACTGCCTTGTAGATTCTTACTTTCGAGCCAAACAAAGGCTTCTCAACCTTGAGAAGCGATTTAAAAAAAATCCAGAACTAAAATCACAATATACAAGGTTTATGCAGGAATAATTGTGGTGGTCATGTCCTTGTTATTTGCAAAAAAAATAATTAAAGGTATAATCATTCGTAGTCGCGCATCGCTACCTGAAGTCAAGGTACTCACTATTGCGATCGTAGATAAGGGAATACCCTTAATCGACTTTAATAAATTTTCGAGTTTTGATAAAGTACGTAGAATTTTAGCTATATTTATTTTCGTGTTGCGTTTTTGCCATACTATAAATTCTAAAACTAGAGCCATGAAGTATGCAGGGTATTTGAAGCCCGAGGAGCTGCTAAACTCATTTCTTTTAATTTGTAAAATTAATCAATCGTCGTGTTTTAAGGCAGAGTACGAGACACTTTTGAAGGGCGTTGCGTTTGAAAAGAAGCATCCCATATTAATTGACTCCTCACATCGTTCGACAAGGTTACTGTTTGAAAGTGAACACATCAAAAATCTGCATGCTGGTCCACAGCTTCTACTGGCTACCCTGAGAGAAACCGTTTGGCCTATTAACGGCAGGAGGCTTGCTAGAAGTGCTGTAAGGGATTGTCTTGTTTGCAGTCGCGTGCGCGGCCAAACACTTTTAACCAGAATGGGCGATTTACCTGCATATCGCGTATCAGTTGATTTTCTATTTAGAACGGTTGGCGTGGATTATGCTGGTCTTTCTCTTATCCTAAATAGAAAGGGTCGAGGCGCTAAAGCAACAAAGTGTTATTTATGCATCTTTTTGCGATTCAAATGTATACATTTGGAGGTTGTGTCGGATTTGTCAATGGAATCTTACATAATGACCTTCCGTAGATTTGTAGCGCATCGTGGTAAGCCAGCATAGGTATATTCAGACAACGGTCGAAATTTTGTGGCAGAAGCCAAAGAATTGTCTAGTTTTTTAAAACAAAATAATATACGTCTATCCGAGTTTGCAGCTCAGGAGGAAATAAGGTTTAAGTTTATTCCGGCTTACGCTCCCTATTTTGGTGAAGCCTAGAATGTGGGAAGCGAGTGTGAAATCCGCAAAGTATCATATTAAAAGAGTAATGGGAAAAACGCATCTTACTTTCGATGAATTTAGTACATTATTAGCACAAGTAGAAGCAATTTTAAATAGCCGTCCCCTTTGTCCCATGTCTTCCTCTCCAAATGACTTACTTTCCTTATCCCCCGAGCACTTTTTGATTGGAAGACCTTTGAATGCTTTACCATCAGCCGCATTGGAGGACCTGAAGGAGACATCTCTAAGCCGCTTCGCCCGCTTGGAACAGATACGTCAGCATTTGGGAGAAGATGGCAAAAGGAGTACATAACTGAACTGCAACAACGAACAAAGTAGAAGACCGCAAGGGCGACACTTAATGTTGGAGATTTAGTACTGATTCGCGAAGATAATAATCCCCCGCAAAATTGGAGGATGGGTAGAGTTGCGCGATTGTATCCTGGACCAGATGGAATTTCTAGACTCGCTGATGTTTATACCACTAAAGGATGTATACGTCGGCCGTTGGTTCGACTCTGCCGACTTCCTGCTGCTGCTGAATTCAAGGGCTGAAGAACTTGGCTCTTCAACGGGGGAGAGTATGACATTCGCGCCCGTTTAAACCCCACATATATATATATTTCTTTTAGAAAAGGAATAATACTAAATCATAGCAAAGGATTGCACTTATTCAACGGGTGGCGCCATCTATTGGATCGAATCTGCAGCGCGCCTAGTACAAGTCATTGGACGTCGCCCGCAGATGGCAGATGTCGCTCGTGTACTTATATATTCAGCTATTTTACCGGCCATAAAAAGTTATGACTTGCAAAATGTCATTCTCATGAACTGTTAATTGTAAAATTGTATCCATCGATTACATAAAGGGAAATTACGAAAAACACCCAGTTTTTATTGAAGAAGACTCCACTTCTATGCCCAAACAAAGAGTCCTTACAAACCGTCACGCGCGCATATTTGGCAACTTCCAACCTCCCGACCACTAAGCAAGCAATCACTGCGTTTAACTCCCTACAAAGCCGGGTCCATAAATTACATTCGTATACACCCCGTAAAACTTCTTGAGCTTTGACCCTATGGTCCTCACATCCTTGTTTATACAAGGAAGCCTGCGTAGTAGCATTTTTACATATAAAAACGTCTACAGCTTAAGAATAGAAATATTTTTATTGCTCTTACAGTAATACAGAGTACAATGTGATATGACAGCGTGAAGAGCAAATGGAAGCGGCTCAGCATAAACTGCTTCATTACAGAATGTCTCGGGTAGCGCTGGTTTTCAGTCACACCTACTTCTCCTTAGATGTAAGCGAGACATGCAAAAGAAATCCAACAAAAGTAGTTACGAGTAAGTTTATTTATCTGTGATTTTGCTCAAGAAGTTTGGTGACCTATACATATCATCAGCATGAATGCCATTGGATGTAAAATGGACCGGGCTTACGGGGAGGTTTCCGGTGTGGCACCCCCACTATTTATATCTGAGTTAACAGTGCAATTAGTCAAGTCAAACTTCGAAAAAGAGATTTCTCGCCAAATCCAGCTTAGACGGGCAGTGGACAGGACACGTAGCGAAGAAAATCAATGACCGTTACGGCGGAAAGGATCTCGGATAGCGATGCTTCGGACTATGCTCCGGACGACGCTCAAAATCTCACAGCTCGGACCAAGAATTTAGTGAAGGTTGCAGGAAGCCGCCGATGCGAATAGCTCAGCAGGACCAATCGGTGTCGAGACCCTTAGGGGTGGGCTATGCTTAGCAGTGGCCTTTGGATTTAAAGATATAGTGATGGTAATTGTGTATAGGCGTGTGTGTTACTGAACTCTTTTTTCCTAAGAGTTTCCATCAGGTAGCAGTAGCGGGTAGCAGGATAGTTTGGATTGGCAACTATAACTGTAACGACGATGAGCAACACTACTAGCAGTGTATGCTAGCTAGCTTTTAGCTAGCGCTTCTATACTTTTGGGCAACGTGTAACTTGTATATATAATACATAAATAAATAACGGGTCCGCTAGTTGATTTTTTTTATTTTCGTACACTAGAAAAATCCACAAATGAAAAGCTTACGATTTGCTTAATTTGAATTTTATTTACATTGTTTTGGCGATATTGGAGAAATTACAATTATCCGTAGATGTAAATTAAAACTCCATTATAATTACAAAAACAGAAAATTGACCAAATATGGTGGTAACTTTGTTGTTAATGTAACAACTCGTCATCTTAAGGGATAAAATACTTTTGAAAGCTGGAAAGATGTCCTTATTGCAAGAGGCAGTCGACAAGCCAGGGTGTGTTGATGTAGTAGGAGTGCATGGTGATCATCGCTGGGTCGCGCGCCATCTCGTATAAGCATTCTGGGCCGTCGGGGACGATAACCTATAAATAAAATAATCGGTATAAATAAATTACCATAACAATTCTAAGTAAGCGCTTATAAGCGGGTTTTAAAGCAAGTGTATTTTGTCGATGTGGAACATCTATTGCGGTGCGAATGACAGCGCCTGATGAGTGAATCTGCTAAAACCCAACGGCTAAACCTCACTAGTTTGAGCCGATATGTTATAAGTTATAATAGGCACTGAAGTTCGGTTAGCAATTGTCGGGAGCAATGCAGTTTCTCCATTCGTTTAATGGTTACTCGGAGAAACTGCAGCATATAAAGATATCGAACACAGCTCAAGGTTCCAACACATTTTTAAAATTTGATCATTTTTTCTGAACACGTTACTATATTTTTTTTCTTTTAATTATTGAATCTGGAATTTTTATATCTGTCAGACAATGTGGAATTGGCTCAGTTATTTAAATTTAGACAGCACTTTGGGTCTCGAACCCTTTGATATACCGTGGTTACAAAACTGACGTTTTGATAACTTTAATTTGATTTTAGAAATTATTCATTGATTAGAATTTGGCGACGCCATTGTCTACTCTAATTATAATGCAAAAAATCCCTAGAGAACTTTTATTATAACACATTTTAAACGAGTCTGAAGCTCGTTAAAAAAGGAGAGCAATAGACACATACCTTGACAGCAGTAACGGGGGGCCTCTCAAAGTAGTCCCTAATGATTGCTTTCTCCTCGAGTTTGCCGAACACGATGAAGCCCATGCCGATGAGCTCGCCAGAATGCACCAGGGGGAACCAGGGGAACAAGCTGTCAGCTGTGCACGCGGTCGACGCAGTCATGTTGTAGTAATAGTGACGACCTGACCAAAGAACAGGCCTGGTTATAAAAAGTATGGCATAGCGGAACCTGTACGGTTTGTAATGTATCTTGTAAACGATATGGCTGATGCCACATTACAAAGAACCTCGCTCAGTGAGAAGCCTGAGACTGTGCCGTGATTCGCTTTCAGTATGGATGACTTCGATAATATACAAAATGATTGCTATCTACTGTCAGTTAATAAGCAAGTAGCAATAGCTTTTCTTTTATTACCGAGGGAGCCTCCATTGGCTGGCTCTAGTTTATTTGGGAGAAACTCGCTAAAGCACTTCTATGATCGAATAATATAATTATAAACAGTAGTTTTTTTATGAATATTACTTATTGTAGTTCGAGAAAGCGATTTTGTCAGAGATTCCTTTATCATATACTCTGCTTTAATTCAGTATTCCTACAATATGGGTCAGACAATCTGAGATGGATTATATAGTAGTATAAAATGAGAAATATAGCTACACCTCAATGACGAATAAGTCTTTTTTCAAATTGATAATTATCTTACGTTTTTGACTTTTATGTAAATAACAATTATGGAAATATGCATCAACCTTATTCTATCACTCCAGTGAATAAAGGTAGGTATCTGGAAAATCTGAACGGTATAGTGCAATACTTACCCATCAATGGAATGCAGGCCTGTTTTGTGAAGTGGCTGACAGCAGTGTTGGCGATATCTTCAGTCCTATCAGAGATCCTCATGCGCTCCCCGTTAAAGCCAGTCACCCATACGCCGTTGAACTGTATGGTTTTGTCTGCATTACGTGCCGTGATACGCTCAGCTGGGGTCTTTGCCAATTCGACTGTAAGAAAGGTCACATTCGTTACAAAAACTTAGCAAGCTTAAAAAGGGTCTCGCTTGGAGAAGTCGATTGGGAGAATCGCCGAGTGTCTTCAATTTCGCTAAAATAACCAAAGTATAACTCTTAATAGAATCGTCTCTCTTCAAAATAGGAACAGAAAATTAAGGGACACCGAAAAAATAAAAGCGTGCACTTCGAATCCGCAGAACGATTCAGTATATACATCTAGAGATTATTTACTACAAGATGCATCGATAGGTCCATCCAAACAAAGGTTTACATCTGGGAATGGTTTGCGAACCGACCAGTCCTGACGAACACAGGAGCAGCTAAGTAGCGAGTCACAAGGGGACGGGTATTATCTAATCTATAAAGTGTACCGCTATACGCTTAGTTAGTTCGTATAGCTCCTAATCTCGTATATAGTGTGGCATAGATAAGTATTTATATATATAAAGCTAAAGTAATATTACCTTCATCGATGAAGTATTGCTGAATGGTCTGGTATGTTTCGACAACACCTTGGGTATTCGGTGGTGGCGTCCAGCGGGTAAAACCTTGAACCTTCCAGTCGAATGGTGCGTCCGTCATTTTGGCTTCATCGAGCTGTGCATGTCAAAGCAAATAATAAGTCAATAATGGGTTAAAAAGCACATCGCTTTTTGAATGATCAATCTTACATGATTGCAGCGCATTGGGGTCTACTATCTATATTACAATCTCAAAAGATATATGCTTTATTATTAAAGTATTTATCAAGCATTGTTATATTTTTATTTAGACATGAACTGCTAGATTTGATTGCATTTTATATTACAGGCGCCGTAGATATACCGCTATCACTGTATTCAAGTAGACGCATAAGATATATTTTAAGATAAAAGCGATAAACTTTGAAATTATGCGTCGCAAAGCTTTTCAATTTCATATAATAGATGATTTTCTTTGATACACATAAAAGCTGACAGATAACCACGCAACTTTTGCGGCGAAATAACATATTGAGTTTTTAGAAAATAAAATATTATTACTTAAAAAAAAGTCGCAATAATAAAATAATTATGATATCTAAGGAACGTGTAAATTGATACATAATTCACCAATTTTTTTTTGTGTCCACGAAAGTTACGAAACGAACTTGCGGCTATCAAAATAAGAAGAAATATCAGCTAAAATCATCTTCTGCTTATCTAATAATGCGTGGAGTAAGAGCTGGCTCCCACTTGTCGGGTGTTGGATCCGTATATTAATCGGATGTCGATGCCTTTGTTCACACATACGATTAATAATCGGTTGTCGGTCACGGTTGAAGCTTTAACCAATTTAAGGTACTCTACGCGAGGCGACTGTTCACGATGTACGTTGACGAAGTTCTTGTTGTGATGTTCCTATTATTATTTAAGAAAACTAAGAATGAGAGCCATGGAAAATAAATATTGGGTGCACATATTCCTGAGGGAAAGATTTGATTTTGGGTAAATTTCAGAACTTAATAACAGAATTGAGAAGTGACGAAATTAAGTGTTTCAATTATTTTAGGATGTCAAAATCAACATTCAACGATCTACTGACTCAAATATTAATGAACATAAACTACCAAAATACAGGACTTGGAGACCGCATTTGTACTGAAAAAGGGTTGCTTACGGACGGAACAAGGGGTAGCGGGGGAGGATAGTCAACCCCGACACCCGACAAATATGAACAGCGCCATTCTTAATCATAGGCGAGCGAGGTCCGACACGATTTTTTTTCCGGGCGTAGAGGGCTGGCAAAACACCCGACACTTCTTGTCGGAGCCGACACAAAATCGGTTTCCGATAAGTGTGAATAGCTTCTTATATAATATTCTGCCACTGGAACCTCCGATTAATATACGGATCCGACACCCGACAAGTGGGAACGAGCTCTAACTGCAAATACTGAACACAAGTACCAACTCTGGTTTCGAACGGTTAAAAATTTTTTTTTAAGATTACATGAACTGCCGAGACCACTGTATTTTTATGAGATTCTGATATATAGTATTACACATTAGTACATATGTGTGTATATAGTTGATGTTTCAACTATATACACACATATGTACAAGTGGTGATGTGTCTGTTGACAAGAGAATAAACAATCAAAAATATTTTAATGCTAAAATTAATTTATACCATACTATGGTTAATCATTTTCGTGTCATGAAAATTACGATATTTAACATGTTCCGATATATTTGTCGTATTAATAGACTTTTCCAAACATAATATACCAGGCCACTCAGAAAAAATTGCGGAAAGAGTTTTTATGTATAAGACACTGGCCACTTGTAAATATTTTGAAGACTTCGATTATTTAAAAATAAATATACCACTGTTCGAGTTTCAAATTTCCCTCCGCATTTTTTCGAGAGCCATAAAAAATTTCGTGCTATGATTTTTTACGATTTTAAATGTGGCTAAAAACCTGATGAGTCATTTGATCGATTTCGAACTGCGTTTATGGATGAAGGACCTTCAAAACCTATCATCTACCGTTGGTGTAGTGAGTTCAAACGCGGTCGTCTCACTTTGGGAGATGAACAAAGGAGTGGTCGTCCTACGACGGCTGCCGAAGAAAGTGTGCTCGCAGTAAAAAAAAAATCAAGAAAACAGAGGAATTACGTATAAAGAAATTCAACATACTCTGCAAATTGTTTCAGGAAGTGTTCACAAGATTTCGCACGAGCACCTTTGCGTAAGGAGGATAGTTTCCTACTGGGAGCCGCTCAACCTCACCGAAGCTCAGAAGCAAGCCCATGTGGATTGGTGCAGTGATATGATACAAAAATTTGATGCAGGCTCGTCACGGCGCGTTAACGATATTGTGACGGATGACTGAATCCTGGATTTATCAATACGATCCAGAAACAAAGCGTCAGTCGACAGTTTGGCTGTTTCAAAATGAACCAACGCCTATGTAAGTGAAGCGATCGAGGAGCGCAGGGAAAATTTTAATCGCCAGTTTCTTCACTTTGACGGGGTACCTAATTTCAATTCCACCGGGCTCCGCGAGGGTCCTTCTTCACCACGATAACGCACCCGCGCACTCTGCGATCAAAACGAAGGACTTTCTGGACTCCACACCAGTCAGAGTCTTAGGACACCCTCCTTACAGGCCTGATTTGGCGCCGTGTAAATTCTTTTTATTCCCTAAAATAAAAAATCTGCTCAAAGGGATACAGTTTTCCGGGATCGCCGGAAGAAGCGCTAGCAGCATTTGAGAAGGCCGTGGAAGCGGTGTCTGCGGAGGACTGGAAAAAATATTTCGAAAATTGCTTCAGACTTGCGCACACGGGTCACCGACCAACACCACAAACCGTGCCACCGGCATATTTCTTGTAGTTTTCATACATTTCATATGGACCCGCCACACACGGTACGCCGGTGGCCGCCACACGATACAAATCGTCGTTGCTCGCTTCTTGTGGCCGCACCGGCCACTTAAGGCGCCGATACAAAACGCCGCCACTCGTCACTCGCGCGATTCCCCACCCCTCTCTCCTTTACCAATCTCCCTATTCCATCCATAGGGAGTGCGGGAGCACATCCCGCAATTGGGACATTGATAGGCTGCTGATGAATATGATTATGATGATGAGTGTTATGATACTCACAGCAACCTGCAGACCAGCTACGTATGCGGTGTCATCGAACAATGCGCAGAGCACGCGGTCGTTTTGCGAAGGGCAGTATAGCACGAGCTCGGGCATAGGTCCGTCAGGGCGTGGCTGCTGCACCCAGCGCGCGTTCTTAGCCTCAGCGATAGTGCGGGGCACGCTCATGAAGTAGCTGCGACCGTAGCCAATCACATTCATCCCAAATCTCACTGTAAATATTTAATAAATGTCAATTCGGAGTATTCGGAGTAGGTCCAGCCAATTGCTCCCCAACAGGGGAGGCACAGGGTCCCAATTCAAATTCAAACATTCTCTATTCAAATTGGAAGCTTAATACAACTCTTTTAAATCGTCCATATGTTTTTCCTTACCACCATCACCCGTTGTGGAAAAACTGTTTAGCCGTAAAGAAAACCGGACGAAAGAAGCTGCACAGTTCTAAATAATTACGTGATGTGATTTACCACATATTATATTATTACGGTATCAATACAAAATCTCGTTTGGACCAGTCCAAAAGCCCAAAATCTCCTGGAAAGATTTCAAAATTTCTTTCATCATCAAAGGCTACTTTATTCCAGAGTGAATGTGAATACGCTTTATTTTATCGCGGTAAAATAAATTTCGCCTGTACAAAGCCGGGGCAAATCGCTAGATAAATCTTTCGATAATTTCAAGGCCAGGTGTATGTTGATACATTTGAGTTAAGGCTGATGTACACTTCGGTAAGCACAGTAGCGAGTTTAGAAATCGGACAGTTAAGCAGTACTATGTACTTAACAGGAAAAACCCTGTACAAACGATGATACGAACTTAACTCCAGTTACTCCAGAGACCCAGACAACAGACGGGACTCGAACCCGCCTCCGCTATCCGGCTGGATGCTGCCGTCTGCGGCCTGGATTGCGTGTAGTTATTTTTAATACAATTTTCTTTAGATTTATAAATCTAACTATGAGTTTAATGTTTAAAATAAATATAATTAACTACGTTATGTTTTACAAAGGTGTACTATTAAGCATATCATATTGGTAAGTATGTATTATGTAAGATAACTCACCTTTCAGACCACCCTTCCATGCCCCTGCAAAAAGAAAAAATAGTAATGAATTTAAGAAAAACATAGCTTTAGAATTTTTATAATGTCTGTTGGTAAATCTTAGAATAACTTTGTCACGAAGACCCAATTTTAGCATCGGGGTTAAAATAACTGACCCTTGATATAGAGACGGAATGATATCTGGACATTTGAGAACTTTAACGCAGTAATTGTTGTTCTTTTGCTAATAGGTCCAAGCAAAAGATTCCACCCCACCTGATGTTATGTGGTGGTAGAGTACAATTCAGGCGAGGTGATAGTTGGCCACCATATGTTTGCCTTCTTCTTCATCTGGTCTACGAGGTACTTCTTTATGCTTCTTTTAAGAGACCCGGTTTGTAAGAGGGATGGAATACGTGCACGACAAAAAAATGAAATCCATTTATGAATTTTGCGGAAAAGAAGTTAATCACCCAATTTCGTTATATGCAGCGCAGCAAATTAATTCAACCCATTTGATGAAAAGTATCTATAACTATGTGATGCGGAAGAATAATTTATTATCTCTCTATCTCGGGCTATGCCATATGCCATCCTGTCGACCGATTACAATCCTCATCCGTTCTCTCTTGGAGCCCTGGAAACCCTGTTTACCGACAAAAACACAACACCGTCAATACCAAATGAATTATCATTTGGTATTGACGGTGTTGTGCTAGTTCACAAGAGAAGGTTATTTCTAGTGACGGGTGTTCCAATATGGCCTGAAAATCAGGTTTACTCTTCCTCTCATGTCAGCAGAAAATAAAATTTATTTTTTAATTTAATAAATTTAAATCCTGTACAAGAATCTTCGTTTTCACATTCAATCGGAGTCGACTAAATATAAGCACATACTTTATGATCTAACACACACATCAAATCCTTACCGAGGGCCTGAGCGGCGGCAATGAGCGCAACAAGAACCAAAAGCTGCTTCATCTTAAACAATATCAGCCAAACTGAGTAATTAACCAAACTTGACCTACTTTTATATAGTAATTAATCTAATTGTAATACCTACTTATTTATCGATGGCTACGCAAAGATAATATAACAATTAATCCTCATTTAATCGCTTTTGTATCTATGCCGTAAGAACTTTTATAAGTGTAACCTAATTTGATTAGGTGTTCATTTAAAATGTGAATGCGGTAGAAATGTTATTTTCTCCCGAGATAGCTACTACAGCTTTAGCTTCTCGCCCTGACACAATTGAAGAAGCAGGCGTCTCAATAGACAACTTATTCGTTCAAAATAAATCATACTTCGTTCGTTGCAAAGTTTAAACTTTTGAAGTGAAACTTCTTTACGCACGTTTGACTTGGGGGGTAAGCTGGCGACTGCGTTACGCGTTACGAAAAGTGTGTTCGGGCGAGGCAAACGGAAGTTGAGTGGGGGATATAAGCAAGAGAAAGCAGTGTGCGATAAAACTTTATTCACACCAACATGCACACATACAAAATTGAAGACAAATTTTACAATTATATACTTAAATCCTTTAAAACATACAACAAATTATATTTATACAACTATACTGATATTTTCGTGTGCAGCAGCGATGCGAATGGGCAAGAACTCAGCGTAACATTTACTCCGAGAGTAAATCGCTGATTTTCAGTTCTGACCCATATAGATGAGGTCACGCAATTAAATGTCAGATTAAAATTCACAATACAATAAAGAAATTAAAATTAAATTAAATACAAAAAAATAATTAAACATTCATTGGACATATAATTGTCATGGTACTTTTACATAAACATAAAAACATGGACTTATAAAAAAGGGCGGACAGAGTCCCGGTAAACAATAAACTGTGTCGCTCAGAGTCGGCCAGGTCGCTGTACGTACAAGCCGGCACGCACACATTCACACAATAGTCAGCCACTACGCGAGCAGACGTCAAAGCAGCCGACACGTTTCGTGGAGATAAAAAATAAGCTAAACAAGATATCTTGCTTGTAAAAAGGTGTAAAAACCGTAGTGGCCGAAAGAAAAAAAATCCAGGAATCACGTTTCATACGTAAATGAATAATTGAATCACTTTTTTCTAGTTTTTAGAAATCGAAATCAATTTTAATTCTAAGGACAAAATGATTAGTCTAAAGCCCAGTGTTGCCAATGTTCATGTAACCATATTACCTAAAATATGGGAAATTGGGTTGACATTAACTTCAATCTATTATTTATTATTCTTTTTTATCAGATTTCCTAAAGAAAATGTAGTATGGAGAAATTACTGGAAAATGAATTATTTCCAAACAAATATGTAGTAGTGTCATTTTTAGTCTTCATTTTGAAGCTCAAGACTTATATACAACTAAAGGAGGACTCCGGCATGTTATTACGTATGCATTACCTCAAAAGGTTGATTAAAATTTTTAACCGACTTCGAAAAGAAAGAGGTTCGCAGTCCGTCATGTTTGTTTTTTTTATTGTTGTTCGCGCAGATCTCCGAGATTCGTGAACCGTTTATGATGATTCTTTTTTTGTTTTAATCAGTTTACTAACGAGATAGCTGCATATTAATTTACTGGAGATCTGATGAGTACTTTCGGAGGAAAACAATGGAACTCCTCAATTACAAACAGTACTCAATGGGTGTTAGTTTATTTTAAGAAATATGAAAGAGAATGCAGGCTAGGCCATCTATATTTAGTTGATTTACCCAATATTGAGAAAATTCGATACATTCTAGATTTTCTAATGAGTCCCGACTGTTAAAGTAACTTTATTCCCTATTAAACAGAATTCTAGACTACTGGACTTGTTTTTTTCTTTTCGACATTTTAATTTCATTATTTTTTAATTACACGAGTTGTATATTTTCTAAATATTCTTTTAAAATCCTTCACTTTGATACCTCGCTTGACGAGTTATAAAAATACTTATATTTTTTTTTCAAAATTTTGATCAAAATTCATTTTGGTGCATAAAATCTTTTATTTTGATTTTTTGAAATTTTAATATACCGAATGCCACTCACACAATCACGACAAATCAAATGACACCTCGCAGGTCAAAATCCGTCAAGACGTTCAGGCTGTAGGGCGTGCCAAATTATTGGACATACATACATACATACGCTCGAAAAACATTGTCCTCCGCAGTCGGACAAAAAGTAAAATTTTGAACAATCAAAAAAATATTTTCATGTTTTTACTGTTTTTTATTGGTAAAAAATTGGCTAACCTAGCAACCCTACAATTCACTCACTCATCAATAGCCGCCGCCATTACGGTGCCTCAGTATTGTCTTAGCCGAAACTCTGTCCGCCTTTTTTTATACGTCCATGCATAAAAACAAAGAAAACAGAATTGATAAATTGATCAGTGAGATAATATTCATAATTTTTATTTTTTAAGCATGTAACTGCTTGATGTTTAAATCTTAAGAAAATAGTTACAGTGAAAATTAAATTAAAATTAAAGCACACAACACCAACGCCGACAACTCCGCACCCAAGCAACTAATTTCTGGATATTCCAATTTTCTGTTGTCCTAATAAAAATGATTTCAGATGTGTTTTAAAAGTCTGTCTGCACGGAATTAGTCTTAAGGGTGGAGGTGTATGTTATTCCAGCATTTAGTCGCTTGGTAGCGGAAACTGCCAGTGAAGCCAACAGTTCTGTGCTGGTGGGTGCTCAAGGGAGCCCTTACATGCCTGGGGACACCAGAACCGTAGTGGTGGTGAAAAGTAGAATACTTTAGTTTATTATATAAATATTCAGGATTCTTATATTTCACTACATTGAACATGAGCATGGCAAGATGCAAATGCCTACGCGACTCCATGTTTAGCATAGAAGCATTATTTAGGTATGGTGATGCATGCATACGTGGAGGAATATGGAAGCAAAAACGGGCACAAGCATTTTGCACACGCTGTATGATTTTCCTTGTTCTGTACAACAAGCGCGGACCATATACCAAGTTACCATAGTTGAGCCTTGATAGGATCAGCGATTCACAAAGTGCAATTCGGGACTTTTCAGGTAAAAAATTACGAACTTTATACAATCCTTATAAACGATAAAAGCAGTTTTTTACTAGATTAAGCACATGACTTTCGAAACGCAATCGACTGTCAAATGTTATTCCCAGGTTCTTTGTCTCTTGAACACGTTCAACATTTGTGCCCAGAACTTGAACAACGGGTGGATCACGTAAAATGTTTTCGGATTGCTTTTTGGTACCTATTAGCATACACTTCGATTTGGAAGGATTCAGTACGAGAGCATTGTCTTTAGACCAGGAAGCTATAGAATTCAAATCTTCGTTTAATTTGCTGACCGCCTGAGATATTTTAGCAGGTTTTTCGGAGATATATAGCTGAACATCATCTGCATAGAAGTGAAATTTACAGTTTTTGATTACTTTTGACAGATCCGCACTGTACATAATGAAAAGAAGCGGTCCAAGTATTGAACCCTGAGGGACACCACGTGACATCGGTTTTGGTTCAGAAGTAAGGCAAGATCCATTCTCCCTACGAAGCAGTACCGCTTGGTTCCGGTCACTAAAGTAGCTACTGAACCATTTAACTGAGTGAGGTTCAAAACCGTAAAAAGTTAATTTTGCAAGTAGTAATGGAACGCTTAAGCAATCAAATACACGAGAAAAATCCAGCAGAGCCAGCATAGTACTTCTTCCTGCGTCCTGTTCAGCTAATATATTATCTGTAACATCAAGTAAAGATGTAACGGTACCACGACCCGTACGAAACCCCGATTGAAAAATTGGTAAAATTTTATTATCTTCAACGTATTTAATTAATTGACTATATACAGCCTTTTCCAAGATTTTTGATAAAAAAGGTAAAGTACTAATAGGTCTTAGGTCTTTAAGCTCAGCCGGAGGTTCAATTTTAGGGATTGGCGTTATTAGTGCTGACTTCCACTGAAGAGGTACCACACCTGTGATTAAAGATTTGTTTACTATATCCGTAATAACTGATAGTGTCCTTGGAAGGGTGAGCAAAATCATGTCCCTGCTTATACCGTCACTGCCAACGGCATTAGATTTTATAGATAAAAAGTAATTTGAGACGTCGTTTTCAGTGACAGTATGTAGCTTAAAAGGAGATTTTGTAGTATCAAATCTGTGTCTTTGAAAATAAGAGAGCAGCGAAGTATCAATTTTGTCTGACCCAGGCGTTTTCAAAAAATGATCATTGATTACGTTTGGATCACTAAAGCAATCTGGAAGGTAGTCATCCTTAGTGTCGGGCAGAACTGTGTCCTTGAAGTTTCTCCAAAACGTTTTGCTATTACTATTATTTGAATTAATATAGTGGTCATAGTAAGCTCGCTTCTCATTATTAATACTTATCGACACCAAAGTTTTGAGATCCCTATAATATTGTTTGTGTGTATCGTGTTTGGACTCACGATATGTTTTATGAGCTTCATTACGCAAATTAATCATAAGCTTTATCGTTTCCGTTATCCAAGGTTCCTAGCACCCGCGAGTACGAAATACCTACTTATAGCTACGCAGGTAACACGCATAACTTGTAAAAAAGTGCAGATGTCGTTGCACTTTCTCCCTTACGCCGCACTGCATAAGGCTCATTTCAGAATGAGCCGCATTACTCGACCTCTATTGCGACCCCCGGTGATCTGGCAAATTCGATCTCTGGCACTTTCGCGGTTACGTTTCGAGAGCGTTTGTGACAATACTTTAAAGTAATGAACACTAATTTTTTCTTTTGCCAGTCAACCAAATAATTACAAAGACAAATCATGTCAAAATTTGAGTGTGATAAAACAATAAACGGGTCCAATACTTTTTGACAATCTACATGATAGAGAAGAAAATAAAGGACAATGGGCAAAACACACCCAACTCCGCCAACAATGTAATTAGTATGAATACGACAAAGCCGGCCGACTATCCTGCGCTTGCTCTTACTGAGACATTTCAAAACGGTTTACGGATGCTGAAGGACTTGTAGTTAAAATACATATAGTCGACTCGTCTTACTTCCTTGTGATTGTGTGCTCCCTACTACTTGTTTGTTTTTATCTAAAACGC